AAATGCCATATATTACCCCTCTTCCCAAACTCCACTTTTATCCAACTGGCTACCTGACATCTCCACTTGTTACTCTAGTAGCCATCTCAAACATAGTATGTTCCAAACTGAAATACTGATATGTCATCCCACCTCTAGAAATTTTTTTTACACCTTTCTCATTGTAGTTGATGGCAATCAACCCTTCAGATTGCTCAGGCCCAAATCCTAGAGTCAATTTATATAATTAAGGCTAATGCAGCTTTCAAAATGCCAATGTGGGCTGAGGACATAGCTCAGTTGGTAGAGTGCCTGCCTTACAATGTATGTACAAGGCCCTGGGTTCAATCTCAAGTACCACAAAAAAAAAAAAAAAAAAGCCAAATGTACTTCCATGGATTAAGTGCAGACTCTTTCAAGTGAGAACTAGATGATTATCATTTGTGTCAGTGGTTCTCAATAATGGCTACACACATGAATCCCTGACACTATAAAAAATACTGTAGCTGTCCCTCCCTTCTAATATAAATGGTCTGGAGACCAAGATAGTACAGGTTTTAAAAAACTTCCCAAATGATTTGGGTATGCAGCCAGGGTTGAAAGCCTCATTTTACAGATTAAAAATAAAGTCCAGAGAGTATGAGATCTGCCTAAGGCCACACAGCTGGGCAATGCTAGGGTGGAAATTGTCACTTAATTCTTTGGAGAAAGAGCAGTATGGGAGAAACTTCCTTACAATATAATACTTTATAAATTTTATGGTAGTTAAGTGTATAAAGTTCAAAATCATAAAGGTTGAAGTTCAAATCAGGGCTCTGAGAGTTATTTAAAACATCTGTGAGTTTAGGTCTCACCCTATACCAATTAACTCAGAATCTCTAGAATTGAGATAGTGCTTCTTAAAGTTCCCCTGGGGCAATTTCAAAGTGCAAACAAGTTTGAGAACTATGAGCTATGTGGCCTTGGTGTAATAACTTGGTCTCTTTGAGTTTAGCTCATACTGGATGTTGTGAGGATTAAACAGATAATGGGTGTGGGTGTATGTATGCTATTAGCATGATTAGTGCCACCACACCTTCTGCTACTGCCATTATCATAATTAGTGGTATTACTTCTGTTTTTTATTAATATTATTCACATATCAAAATCACATTTTAAAGTGATTCAGTGGTGTTCAGAATATTCACAAAATTGTGCAACCATCATCACCATCTAATTCCAAAATATTTCATCACCCAATTAAGAAATCTCACATCTTTTTTTTAATAATGAAGCATTTTTTTTTTTAATTTTGTAGTTGTAGATGGACAGTGTGTCTTTATTTGTTTATGAATTTAACTATTCTGGAAATTTCATATGAATGCAATCATACAATATGTACCCCTTTGTGTGTGACCTTTCACATTTAGAATAATGGTTTTGAGGTTTGGCCATATTGTAGCACATATCTCTGCTTTGTTTTTTTATAGTTATATAACATTCCATTGTATGGACATACCACATTTTCAGCAGTTGTTTACACCTTTTTGGATACTATGAATAATACTGTTATGAGTTTCTGTACACACATTTTTGTTCCTGAGTATAATCAAGAATAGAATCACTCTATCAATATTTTATCCTTAGCTTTTTGAACCACTACTATTTTTCTAAAGTGGCTGCAGCACCACTTTATACTCCCACCAGCAATGTGTCAGGGTTCTAACTTCTCTCCCTCCTAACACTCTTACCATCTTCTTGATCTTCCCCATCCTAGTGGGTGTGAAGTGACATTTCATTACAGACATGACTTGCATTTCCTTGATGATTAAGAACGTTAAGTATCTTTTCATGTGCTTACTAGCCATTTGGAAGCTTTGGAGAAATATGTACTCAAATTCTTTGCAATTTTTTAACTGGGTTATTTGTTTTTTTAATATTTTTACAATATATTTATTTATATTATCTTATTTATACTATATTTATTATTATTGTTTTTGTATTATTGAGTTATAGGAATTCCTTATATTTCCAGACACTTGATCCTTATCAGATAGTGATCGAGCACCCCTAATCTGAAAATCTAAAACAAAGGAATGGTGTCTCTCAGCATTTCAGCTCCAAAATCTGAAGAGGGTGAAGGGTCCTCTTAAACATGGAATCAAGTTAATGCCAATATTTTGGGTTTTGGGTAACAATAAACCAATGTCCCAGTATTATACAGAGAAAAGAAGAAAGCAAAGATAACTTTGGCGGGGGGGGGGCTGGAGTTGTGGCTCAGTGGTAGAGCACTCACCTCACATGAGCAAGGTCCTGGGTTCCATCCTCAGCACCACATTAAAAAATAAATAAATAAATAAATAAAAGTTATTAAAAAAAAAAAGATACTTCAGGGCAAGGAACCATGAAAAACTCAAGATGTGCCTCTTTGCTTTAAAATTCTTCTAAGAATATTACTTTAGTGTCTAAAACAAGTGAAATGGCCTTTTTTTTTTTTTAAAAGAAAATACCTTTGCCCATATATCCCCAAAGTAATAAAAAGCATGTTCAGCACAGTTTCTAAATTTACAGATGTCTAGGACCCCCAAGAATACTAAAATCCATGGATGCACAAGTCCTTCATATAAAATAGCATAGAATTTGCATATAACCTACACACATCTTCCCATATTCTTTAAATCATCTCTAGATTACTTAGAATAACTAGTAAAATGTATTAAATGTATATAAATAGTACTCATACTATATTGCTCAAGGAATAATGACAAAAAAATATATGCATATTCAGTACAAATGTATTTTTTTTTCCAAATTTTTTCAATCTGTGATTGGCTGAATCCAAGGAAGCAGAACCCATAAATATTGAGGGCCTATTGTACAGTCACAAACATAAACCACAAGGCATTACTTCTTTAATGTATAAACTTGGGGGTCAGATTTTTCAAAAAACAACTGACACCAAATAAGCTTTTCTGAAACTAGTTCTATAAATACAACAAGCACCACTGAATATAATTTTATTCTAAATTGATCCAGTTTATGTACCATATCTAAAACTTATTTTTATAGTGTAGATAGTCTACAGCAATGCCTCACTATGGTAAATGATCAACAGGGACTTGCTGAATGAATAAGGAGTAAGTCCTTGGAAACAGGGACATCATCACAAGCTAAAATCTCCTTATTCCTTCCAGATCTACTAGGATGTACTTTTGATTGTTATGGCAATACAACCTAATATCTTTGCAATTCAATTTAACAGACATATCAGATTCTCCGTACAAAGGGGGAAGGACAAGGGAGACAAGGTGAAGAAAAGTAAGGAGTACTACATTATGCCAAGAGGAGCTTCTCCAACAATGACAAGCATTAGATTAAACAACTTAAGAGCCCTAAACTCACTTAACACCCTATCTACCAAAAATTGAGATGAAATATTTGATATCTACAAAATTGATTAACCATTTGACCCTGTATCTCAGGAAGATGAAGTAGGCTCACTGTAAAATGATTTTTCTCACTCCCTTTTGTAGTGTTTCACCTAAGACTGCAAATTTGTTGAGCAGCCAAGAGCTACACAGGAGAAAAATACTCTGCAGGCAGCAACTCCTCAGGACTATGTCATGGATTGAACTGTATTTTCTCAAAATTCATATGTTGAAGTAAGTCTTAACCTCTGGTACCTCAGAATATGACCTATTTAGACACACGGTGAATTCTGAAGTAACCATTTAAAATGGAGTTGGAATGCAGTAGGGTGGAACCCTAACTCAATATGATAACTGGCCTTGTAGACAGGGAAACTGACACAGAAGAACACAGCACACAAGAAGACTGGAGTTATGCTGTCATAAGCCAAGGAACTAAGAGTATGGCTTTTCTGACACCCCACTAAGGCAATCACAGTTATTCTTTTTTTATTTGGGGGGGGGGGAGGTTACTCTGGATGGAACCCAGGGGTACTTTACCACTGAGTTACATCCCCAACCCTCTTTTTCTTTTGTTTTATTTTGACACAGGTTCTCACTAAGTTGCTGAAGCTAGACTCGAACTTGCAAGCCTCCTTCCTCAGCCTTCTGAGTTGCTGGGATTACAGGCATGTGCTACTGTGCCTGGCTAACTGCCTGTTGTTCTAAGCCATGCAGTTTGTGGTACTTGTTATCGCAGCCACAGTAAACTAATGCAGACTATAGAAGCTACTGTGGGCCAACTAGCCTACTACCTTCAGACTACATTTCAGATCTGGCCTTCCATGCCATGGCCATGGCCATGGCCACATCACCAAAGGCCCTAACATTTCACCCATGAGCTGTTCCCACAGCTCTGGTCTCCCTAATTCTACTCTACCTCCTTCCACTGCCAAACTTCCTGCACACCACTGTAACATTAACCTTTCAAAGACGCCAACTTTGCACCACTCCCTTATTAAAAAGTTTCCAATGACTCACCATTTCCTATAGGAAAAAGCTCAAATCCTCTTGCCTAGCATTCAGGCCTCTAAGTTAACTCTGATTGTTAGGTGAGATTTTCCTCCTGACCCTAGAATGTACAACCATTATTCTTGAGGCCATGCTTCCTCCTCACTTGTCATTCTTCTCTTTTAACAACTCAAACCTTGATCATCCAGTGTTCTGACAATGTCAGAACCCACATTGTCCTTGAAGGTCTCTATGTCCATGTCTAACCCCAGAGCCACATCTCTGACTATGCACTACTGCCTGCATCAGCCGTTCTGCGCTCACCACAGACTGCCTGGCATGCGGTGACTAGGAGCTCCTCAAGGATAGAGTCCATGTCTTATAATTTTAGGTTATTCTTAAAGCCAAAAACAATGCTAGGCGTATTTTAGGTAACCTCTAAATGCTTACTGAAATAACTATTAAACATATGTTTTAAATCCCCAGAAATGCTACCTTTGGCTCTTCCTTCAACTTGGATTTGAGAACTGAAACAAATATTATACTCTAATTACTCCACATATATCAAAAAATTTTAAAACTTAAAACAAATGGGAGGATTACCTTCAGACCCAAGTTACTTACCATTCTTCATCACCACATTGGACCAGACATTGGCATTCAAAGCTTGGACAATTCGCTTTACTCCTGTAGATTCAGGGAAGTCATCTTCAGGGGGAAAAACATATATATTTATATACACACTTATATGTACCTTCTTATACATTCATGTATATCTAGATATCCCCAAAGCCATATTTTCAATAACTATGGCATAATTATCTTGCTTATTCAGTTGTTCCCTCACACTTAACTTGTATAACATGAAAAGAAATATAGCAAATACAAACTCAAGAGTTCCTGATAGGGATATTCTACAAACTAAAATAATTAAACAAACATCATAACAGTTAAATAATAAAGTCCTTCCTATTGCCTCACCAGTGAAATCAACTCATATTCTCCTAAGGATCTAAGTTTCCATAATCCTGGGAAAGTACAACAGATAATGAATCTCAGTTATCTATGCAGAATGAGTTTCCTGTAGACAGGATGGAATTTTCAGCACACTATAACACACTGCAAATGCTCTGTCTTCCACTGGGGACCATAGAGTAATAAATATTATCTCTATCTAAGAAATAACCTCTTGATCAGAGAAAAGAACTTAAAGTAAAAAGTGAATTTACTATAACCCTAAGTGTAAGAAACAGGCAATGGGTTATTTTTAAAAAATTAATTTAGTATTAGTACTATTTGCTACTAGAATTTGATGGATCCTACCTAAAATAACAGGCCTTGATCCCAGTTAGCATGCTAACAATACAGCGGTATTCTGAGCTACAAATTAAGTTTCACTGTGTATAAAGGACAAAGAGATCATTCAAATGTTGACTGACTGTGGAAAGCAATGGCAGAAACAGTTTTCACAGGGTTGAAAGGAAAGAGTCTGCAGAACAGTTCAAACACAATCTGCCTCTAGTGCCCTGGCATGATGCTGGGAAGTTTAACAAGAAGAGTACAAAATCAGAAGTCAGAATATCCGAATTTGAGCCCCAACTCCATCACTTAATAACTATCTTATCAAGGGCTAATCGCTTATATTATCCTCAAAAAAAAAAGGAGAGATGACACCATCCTTTGCACATCTTTCCTAGAGGAAAGATGAACTAAAAGTGATGACTCACTGGTATAACTTTCCTCCTTAGACTAGAAACTCCTTGAGGACAGGAATCAGGCTTATTGAGTTCATTATGCCCACTGTGCTAAATAGTGCCTGAAAGAAAGCAGGCACTCAGTGAGTGCCTTAGAGATTGATGAATCATTTAAAGAATACCAACCTACTCTAACAGAAATACAGTAAGGATTAAACTGAAAATATTCTGCAAAGATGAGCTTATTACCATCAACATTTGGATGAAGAGGCATGTTTATTCTAACTATGAATGACTCAATTCTTGAAAAAAATAATACTTTAATTCAGGAAACAAAAATGAAGAGCTAGAACCAATAAGATGAAATTTAATACAAACAAAGTGTCATATGGATGTCTGAGTAATACTTACTAATAAAAGGTAAGAGAATAAGGCTTGAGAACAGTTTGCATTTAAAAATTCTAGGAAGGTCTTTATTACCTCACCTAATGATGACATGTCTAAAAATTTATTTTAAGATTAAGCTAAATTAGGGCTGAGGCTGTGGTTCAGTGGTAGAGTACTCGCCTTGCATGTACAAAGCCCTGGATTTGATCCTTAGCACCACATAAAAACAAATAAAATAAAGGTATTGTGTCCAACTATAACTAAAAAATAAATATTAAAAAAAAGATTAAGCTAAATTAATACAAGAACACTGTTCAAACAAAGGGAAAGGAAAAGAACAGTGGTATAAAGGAGCAGAGATTCCAAAATGATAACAGTCAAATATTGACTCCCAACAACACGAAGAAAATTCTAGTGCTAGAAATAAAAGATGACATACATGCTCACATACATGAAGCTGGGCAAAAGTTTTAGGGAATCTAAAAAACACAGAAGGAAAAATTGTACTTGTTTATTTCCAATATTCTTTAAAACGTACAGAAATCAAAATATGCCTTTTATTTCATTTTTGTTCTTTTCTTCTCTGGCGATAACAGCCATTTTGGAAAAATTCTAACTAAGCCAGAAAATAGAAAGATATTTTTAATTTTTTATAAACTAACTTAGGCTTCAGGCTGGGAGTGTAATTCAGTGGTAGAGTGCTTGCTTAGCATACATGATGCCATGGGTTCAATCCCCTGCACCACAAATAAACACACTCACACTCTCTCTCTCTCGCACACACACACACACACACACACTCTTATTTCACGTAATGAGGGCTTATGTGCTAAGTGTTTCAATTCACATTGGTTGCCGTTGCCTGGAATGTCTTTTGGAATAACTGGCACCTTCTCAATGCCAGTCCCTACCAATCCTCTAACTAGTTTGTTAACTTTTCTACTTCTTCCCATGGAGAAGCTGACATGTGAGAGTTCATGGTACCAATCATTCCTTGAGTTTCCAAAAAGACCGTCTCTTCCACCTCTGAAATATTACAGCACCAGTAGTTTTTTTTTTTTTTTTTTAATACCTATGACACTCCACTTAGTAATTCAATTACTGGTATATGTTTTATCTTTGGTACCACCTTCTAAGGTTCTGGGGGACCAAAATCTGTCTTATCTAGGTAGATCCCACAACAGCTTATTTGGAAGGAAAAAGAAGAAAAAAGAAATAGGGGAGCAGGAAGAAGAAGGTAAGAAACAGAAGATACAGACAGCAGAAGGCAGGTAATGCAGAGCTACCCTGAGCGGGGGGTGGGTATTCTGGATTTATTTTTGGTTTCAAGTGTTTCAAAGACATACAAATAGGTCTGACATGTCCCACCCCCACAATATTTCTGTAGATTCGACCTTAGCTTGTTATGAATTCTAAAGAAAGGACATAAACTCTACCTACGACTATAGGTCTAACCCTCCTTTTGTCAGAAGAGAACAATAAGAGAATGGGGAAATGACAATGATTTTAGGTGGAAATCCTTTACTGGTCATCTCTTTAAAAAAAAAAAACAACAACCAACATTTTCAAAGTTCTAAAATGAGTAATAAACAAACCAATGAATTATTACATTATTAATAAGACTACACCACTGGATTTTGCTCGAATCTTTTCAAATAGCTGGAAGAAAATAGTGTTTCTTCAGTTTCACTGTGATTCTTCTTCCCCGGAATAAAATAATCTCTGATATCTCAATCCAAACGCATGTTTTCTACTAACACGAAAAAGCTCACCATCCTCCTCAGGCAGTTCCTCTGGACTAAGCTCAACCAATTCAAAGCCATGTTTGATGCACCATTCTTGAGCTTTTTGTCTGTTTACTCCTAAAATGATATGCAGAACAAGCTATTAGTAAAGTAAAACATGAATACCCTACACAAATCTCAAATGTTTTCCCCTCAACGTCAATGTTATATTCAAGAAATCTAGAATTGAGTAATATAAAGAAAATGATTTCTTAACCCCTAAATATCCATTCTTTTAAAACAAGGTAAACAGTGCAAGATTCTAACAAAGTCCTAAGAGATGTGCTGCTCTAAACTCAGAGTACAGGTATTCTCTGACTGCAAGGAACAGCAAACATGTGCCACTACTCAGCTGAGGGCCTCACCATCTTCAGACACTCTGTCGCAGACCAAGATCATCACCTCAGGTAACCATGCCTCTGCCAGCGGAAGCCATGAGGAGACACTGTCAAGACCTGACTTCTAGAGGGAGCAAAACCAAACACAAACAGAAAAAGAGACATTAAAAGAACTCACAGGAAAAGCACAAGGGGAAAAAAGGCATATGATAATTTCTTATTCAAGGCTCCATGGAAAAACAAAGTCTTACTTGTGTGCTGTCAAAATAAACCACAAATGCCTGCACAGACTCCGCAATTTCGGCAGTGACAAGAAATTTATTTGGCACCACACATAGATTTATATCTGCAGAGTAGTATTTATTATCAATGGTCCAGGGATAAAACCTCACAGTATCATTGGAAGTCGCTTCTACAAGATCTTCTGTTCCAAGGATATCTAAAGAAATGAAACAACATTAGCATGGGAAGTAAAAGCTTACATACACTGGTCACTTTTCTCAACAAGATACCAAATTAATCTGGTACTTAGGCTGCTTCCCTTTATAGTAGGATTCTAAAGGCCCTGCATTTATTAAATATTCTCTTCTGTAATCATTTGATTATAAAGTAATGGTAACATAGTTTAAGCCACGGGTTTTTATTTTTAAGAACTCAAAAACCATTGTGTCTAAACAGTCATCTAATTAAATACTCAGAAAAGGGCAAACAGAAGAGAAAGAATGACAGCTACATTTATTTTACTGCTTGAGTATTTCATGTGAGGTGAAAGATTATAAGAATTTTCAATTTTTTGTAGTTATTGCCTGCTAAAAGGAAGAGAGATTAATGCTCTGCTACTAATAAAATGTAAGAGCTACATATATTCCTTGGGATAAATGCTTAGACATTAATTCAATTAACGGAACAAAAGAATAGAAACTGATAAATGACCCCAACTCCATTTTATATACAGGCTTATTCAGACTTTGATAGCCAATGCAAACTCTTATTTGATGAAGACACCTCTGGCAAATTTCAAATGTATAAAAGCAAGAAAAGCAAGTAAGTTAAATGTTTCAGATTATAATCAAATCTTTCAGAAATCCATGTGCAGCACAGATAAAATAGGAAATCTTCATAGAAGACAAGTCAATGATGAACAAATTAATACAGATGTGATCATGAAACCACTGAAGCATTTTGCTTCCAGCATGTCATACAATATTTAGAACTGGAAGAGACATTAGTAATTGTTCTAATCCCAACTCCCATTCCACACACCCATACCCACAATCTCTATTTTATGCAGATGTGGAAAATGAGTAAAATGACATGCCACCAATGGGTTCTTAAAAGAATACAGAGAGCTGTTCATAGTGGGGTTGGGGAAGGGAGCATGGGAAGATTAGACAAACTGTAGACAGGGCAAAGGGGAAGGAGGTGGAGGGAGGAGGCAAAGGGGTAAAAAAGATGGTGGAATGAGATGGACATTACTACCCTAAGTACATGTATGAAAAAGACACGAATAGTGTGAATATACTTAATATACAAGGAGAGAGATGGAAATTTATGCTCTAGATATATAATATGAATTGTAATGCATCCTGCTGTCATATATAACAAATTAGAATAAAAAAATTAAAAAAAGGAAACAGAGAAAAATGGACAAAAACTCCTTTTCAAAGCAAACAAAAATGAACATGTAAAATGTGTCTCAAACTCATAATTACCATGACACTGAAAACTACAAGTTAAATTTTAAATTCCAGAGCTTAGATTACACATTTGGAAAGCTCCCATTGTTTTACCTTGGTATAAAGACATGGAGAAATCATTCAGCCCAGATGACTGCTAGGAATAACATGTAATAATATACAAATGTGTGAATGTGTGAGCTTGAAAGTACACACATGTATCATTTTTGTTAGTGAAGTTTCATTACATAGGAGGAACTACTAAAAAATTGAAGGCCTGTTTCTAAAAAAATAATTAAATTTAAAATGTATTTGAGATTTTACCTTAGATATAAGGCTATTGTGAAACTAATAAAAAAATTAGTAAAAAAAAAAAATCAGAATTTTCACCAAAATCAGAATTGTATTATTCTTAAATGAACAGGTCTGTGCCCATATTTGAAATTCTGATCTCTTTTCTCGGCCCTAAGAAATTAGCAGTTCTTCCTGCTTCATTTCTACCTAAAGTCATAATCTTTTATTTAGTGTCAATCAATTCCATAGCAATCAGCTATATATATATATAATGGAGCACCACAAGTTCAGATGGGAATTCAGCAAGAGGAACAGATGAATTATTAAAATCAAAGATTTCATTTTCAAATAAACATCTCATTTTTAAAAAAATCATTGATCAAAGTCTACATTACATTCAAAGCTAACATTTCAAACTTAAAGCAGGTGGCTTATCAACATGTGGCGTGTTTCTGAGTGCCAAATACCACACAGGGAGCACTCAAACCATGATATACTGATAATAGCACATATGGAAGAGGGCAAAGTAAACCAAGGAGAGTAGCGCAAAAAAAAAAAAAAAGTATAAACTATGTTTTTGGGTTTTTTTGTTCTGGGGTACTGGGGATTGAACCCAGGGGTGAATTACTTACTATAATTTAGAATATTTAGGTCTATTAAAGATGGTTGTCTTATGAATGCTTAAAATACAAAAGAACAAACTAATGTCATGCAGAGCTCTTAAAATTTCACTTTTATATTGTCTAAATTTTCCATGATACTTAACAAGCCATTTCTTAATACAAAAATTGTATGTATTACAATACCTATACACAATGGAGTACTATTCAGCCATAGAAAAAATGAAATCCTGGCACTGAGACAATGTGGATGAATCTGAAGATCACTGTTTGAAATAAGTTAGGCAAAAAAAGACAAGCACGGCATGAACTCATTCACATGTGCAATCTAAAAAGATTGATCTCATAGAAGAGGAGAGTACAATGATGGATACCAGAAGTTGGGGTGGTGGGGAGGGAAGGGGTGCTTGGGAGATGTTGGTTAAAGGGTATATAATTACAGTTAGGTAGGATGAATGTTTAGAAGAAAAAAAAGCCCAGAATAGGTAAACAGAGACAGAAGATAGAACAATTTGCCTGAGACTAGAGCTAGGAAAGAGAAGATGGAGGGTGGTGGAGAATGATTACTAATTGTCATGGAATTTCTTTCTGGGGAGATGAAATGTTCTAAAATGACCACAGTGGAGGCTGTACAGCTCTGTGAGCACACTAAGAAGCACTGCATGGTACACTTTAAATGGGTGAACTGCACAGCTTGTGAATTATATCAATAAAGCATTTTAAAATAAAAAAATAAAGTCTTAAAAAGAAACAGAAGAAAAAAATAAAGCAGCAGTGCTTTCTCCTTTCTTTAAACCCAGATGGAAATAGAGCCAATAAATTGGGAAAATGAACTCCACATTTTAGTAGCTGGGTGGGTTTTGTTTTATTCTCTGTACTGCCTAAAATAAGTTGATAGCTCAATTCACTTATCAGATTTTTTTTTCGTTTTTAACATTTTATGTCTAATCAGATACTTTGAGTGAAGCTGCATATGGACTTTATTATCACATCTGTGTGCCATATTAGAACCAGGGAGAGAGGAGTGAAGACTGACTCATTCTAATTCCCATTATCAATATCTTAATGTAGAGTTTAATTGTAAAAATGTAAATGTAAATGTCTACATTAAGTATCATTTTCCTCCCTTGTCTTTTTTATTTAGCTTCAAATGCTTAACAAATTTATTCTTTCCCAAATTAAAACAAAATCACCAAATGCTTGTGCACATGGCTGTTTTGAGATCAGCTAGTATAACTCACTCATTTCCCAGATGAGAAAACTGAGGGTCAGAAAAAAGAAACCACTTGCCTAAAAGGAGCAGAGCCTAAAACCAGTGTCAGGTCATCAGCGCTCTTTCCTACTGCACCACCTGGTTACAATACTCAACATATGAGCTGGATCACTCTCAAACGTCTGTCACACCGAAAACTAACCCTTGGACCTAGAGTATCCTCTGTCCTTTTAGGGCCACTAAAAACAATATCCCAAATGGAGGTACCATTACAAATGAACCCTCAGGACAATTAACCCATAAGAAAACTGTTTATAGCATTCAGTTATTTATGTCAAAGGAGTCCCAATTATTTTCAAGGTTTGCTGTGCTTTCTATGGTTTGTTGTTACCATACTGACTTCCTAGAGAAACGTGCTATGATCTCCCTTCCTTGCCCTTGATTGTACTGAATTTTGATTTGTCCTTCCTACCACATACAAATCAACTAAAAAAACGGCTTCACTCTCCTGGTGGAGGTCAGCCTGTCTCATTCCCACTGTTGGCAGCCACCTGGTGGAGCTGTAATACATAATTTGTTAAGAGACAAACACTAGGTGATTAATTGCCAGGTCTCTTATTACACACTTGGTTTCACAGCTTAAAGTAGTTAATTTGCAGTGCTTTTATGTAACAAGTTACATTTCCACCCAGTTCTAGTAGCAAGTGTAGATCTTTCCCCCAGTTCTAAATGCAAATATAAACCTCTTTCCCTGTTTGAGAAACTGTTCTTCTACAGTCATCAATTATCCAGGATCTCCTATCTTCCTGCTTCCTTGGTGAATTTATTTCCCCTATGATGCCACAGAATAAGTTATTGAAAAGAAACAAACACAGGATTTGAAGGGAGCTGTATGCCAAGGCAACATTTCAGTTTAGTAACCCAACACTTCCTTCTTCCTCTTGCCCAACTTTGTCCTGTTCCCGTTTAGCCTCATACTCCTTTCAAGAGAGTGCCAATTTGGTAAGCAAATCAAAGAAAAGAGGCAGCTAAGCTTTTGATTGTTCATATTCAATAAGAGGTTTTTATCATGAATAAGGAAGCAGACTTAAGGTAAATTCTCCAAACCACCACAAATATCCACTTTCCTGTGCATGCATAAACGAACACACACACACACACCCCTCTTATTTTACCCCTCCTCTGTCCTTGCAGCACTTCAGCCAAAAATGACAAGGGAATTTTAAACTAAGTATATTGATACTGTGTTTGGATTTTTCACATCTCCTTTAGCAATAAAATAATTAAGAACACTTTTAATCCCAACAGAATTAATGTACACTTAACTAATCAAGAGCTTTGTAAAGAGAAGCTGTCCAGCGGTTAATCATATTTCCTATGTTATGAGGGAAGACAGCTTCCACCGTAAATCAATATGATCTTTCCAGAAAAACAGCACTCTTCTGAGAATACAAAGTTAGTTTCATTCTTTTTCAAACTGAAATTGCTTTTACTGCCAAGGATCATAACACCCCACTCCCTTTACAAGTGTCTTTCATGGGATCTACTCTCCTGAAGACACAAAGTTGCTCTGCCTCCCCTCTGTGAAGACAGCACTAATCAGAAGGGGAAAGGGCCACACAAAACAGCAGCCCAG